AGGGAGGGAGAGACGGAGAGGAGGAGCACAGCGCCGAAAACAAACTGTCAATACGGCCACAGCGGTCACAAACTGAAGCTCCTCTCTCTGTTTCTCTCTTTCTTCTGCCCCCTTCTCCTCCTCTAGAGGCGCGAACCTAACTGCGGGAGGACGCTGACCACTGGGTGACAGTTTAGGAAAACGAACTGCTCCACCGTTTCGGCCCCTCTAATTGGAGGAGGCAAGAGGGAGGGGGAAAGGGGGGAGGGGCGGCGGCGGGACCAGCGGCAGCAGCATCCACTGACTGGAGGAGTGTGATGGGGGTTCCTGCAACATAATTACTGAGTCCCTTCATACATCACCCGGGGAAAGCTGCAGCAGCAAACTCTGTGCCCCCCACCCCACCATACCCCTCCCCTCCGGGCGCCCTCTAGCCTACCCCCTACCAGCCCACCTAATAACATAGCTTTACTTTTATAGGGGAAAAATTGCACCTCAACATAGTTTCAAAGTTATACATTTTTTACGACCTCTCCCCCTGGCCTCCCTCTCTTGCTGCGCCCGTAGCCCTGCAGTTACAAGTGAGCGGGTCTTCTCGGCTGCGCGTCCCACCTTCCCCCCTGAAAGGATATTGCGGGTGGGAGAGCAAGACGCACACGAATGGGCGATGTTTTTTGAAAGCCTGAATGTTTAGGATGATACATAATATCAAATGGAAACAATATATTTTAGTATAATGCATCAGTTGCTAGTGCTGTACCCAGCGTGTCTCACGATTTAAAAACAATGTCCTCAAAAAGTGTGGGATATTCCTCATTAAAATTTGCATTAAGTGCACTCCAGGATTGTATACTCGCTAGGGCTGCAGGAACTATGTCACCTTCCAATGAAGTGCGCAATCCCGCAACAGTGGAGCGCATTCAAACATTCACCCCGTATTTGTGGCCCGCTGTTTGACGTCCCGTTCGTCTATTCGGCCGCTTGGCCCCACGAACTTACAAATTTTGACCGAAATAAGTTATTGTGAATATGAAAAAGCCTCGTGACCAACCAACTTCGAATGTATCATCTGCTTTCATGTCCGACGTTAAATACAGTGGAAATGTTTTCCCCTCCCCTTATTCTTTGCTGTGTCGTGTGTTAACTACCCGTCAAGTTTCAAACCAAATTTCAGCTTGTAAAAGCAAACTACCAAAAACGTTAATCTGAAGATGACGGTTTGCAAAGGCGACCGAGTTTGTGAACGCGTGCGGTGCGTGCGGCTGTGTGTGTGCGCGACCAGCTCTTTACATGGAGGGGACCCGCGCACTAAAAGTCAACAGGTGACGTTTTTAAGAGACCGTTCCGCGTCCGACCAAATTACGCACACGGATAAAGTGGCCAATTGTTGCGGCGCAAAAATATTATAGCATAACGCCCGAGCGCGCAGAGGCGGAGGGGGGCGATCAACCTAACGCCCCGCCACACGCACGCACACGCACGCACGCACAGCTACAGCGCGGTCATCCAAATCAGTGGTGGCTCCGCGCGGTATCCGCCATAAAACACCAAACACCCATCCGTCCGCCTGTCCGGCGCGCCCCGCACTGCTTACCGCCCTGCCGAGGGCATAAAGCCGGAGAGCAGAGCGGCGCAGAGCGGCGCGCGGCCGCGGATCTTTCCACAGAGATATACTTTTGCCGACAGTGTAAGGCCCGCGCCCCGGCCCGCCCGGCCCGACAAGGCGAAGGCGAGCGAAGGTATACACTGAACTACCGGGGACCGAGCCGCACGGGGCGTGGTGGGGCGGGGCGCACCTCAGCTATGTGCGAGCCGGGCAGCAGCGGCGGCGGCGGGGCAGAGCGCAGCACACAGCGCGTGTGGTAGAAAATTGTCCTCATTTATCCGCCGCAGCTATCGCCTCGCCTGCTGCCACCGCCTGCAGCCTCACGCCGCCGAGGCCCGCCGAGGCCCATAGGCCGCCGGCCGCCACCGCGCACACCGGGAGCCCTCCTGGGGGCGCCACAATAGGGCATCCCATTTGAATGAAGCGACGGCCGGCGGCGCCGGGTGGGACCTTCGACGGTCTTGTTGGTGTGCTTGCTGTTACTGTTGTTGTCAGCGTCCAAAAAATGTCAAAAATAGTGTTGATCAAGAAGCCGCTTCGCAGGAGCAGTCTCAGTTTAAGTCAGTCAGTCAGTCAGTCAGTCAGTCAGTCAGTCAGTCAGTCAGACAGTCAG